CGGCGGGCGGGGGTCGCCCTGGCGGCAGCATGGGCGGGGCGGACTTCGCCGCGCTCCAGGCTCCCTCCGACGCGGAAGTTCACGGGCGGCACACACACACACCCACACGCGGAAGTTATCAGGACAAACTACCAGCCCGAGCTGCACATCTTTTAGGGCTTCCTGCTAGTTCTGTTAAGAAACAAGCTCAAAGCGAGCTTCGCCCGTACGGCCCCTGGACGGTGTTTCTCCAGCCAGCTGGACTCAGCCTTCTCCCTTTCGGATCAGACTTCGGTGTTTCTCTGACCCTAGGCACTCTTCAATTTTGCCCATCTGCGTATCGCTGTCGCTCCTTTCTGCCTTTTCACTTGAGGATTCAAACTTGTTGCCTGATCAGTTTTCACTTGTAAGGAACTATGATGACCTCTCCTATTCTGGCTTGGTGACATCGCATCTGAAGGAAGTGTTCCATTGAAGTCCCTTTCCCTTTGTAGTTAATCTTGCAGTAAATTCTTTAAAAGTTTGATATCCAAGACGACGTTATTTCAGTCTTTTTTCCCCTACCTTATTCCCGCTCAGTTTTTATTCAATTCGATCAAACAAATACTTGATTTGTCGGTTGTAACTGTTGCTGGAAATATAAAAGACACAGTTCCTGTCATCAGAGGGAGGTTGGCAAGTATATAATCATTCTTATAGTGCCTTAAAGCTACAATACCTGAAAGAACAAAGTCCCTTTCTGCTCCCTAAAACTGCCTAGAACTGGAGTTCTCCAGGCATTTCTCCCTTTTCACTTGCAGTTTCCAGTTTCTTCTAGGTTCACCTACAAACTGGCAACAATATTAGCCTACCAAAGTCACACCAAAGTCCTTTCAAGTGTTTCTCTTGTAAATGTTAACCTTCCGAGAATCCCTGAAATTGTCGCTATAAATTCACACTCAGTGATATTTCAAAGAATTCACTTGAAAAAAATATATAGCTAATGAAATTAAGCATTCATTTTTTTGTCTCCATAACAAGTTATTTGTAATTCTTTTGTTTTGTGGGATGGACTTCTTGGATATCAGGCCTGATGGCCATGAAAAAATTTACAGATATAGGCTGGGGAATAACATGTCAGGGAAGGACATCCTGTTCCTGTCCTCTTCCCCCCTCCCTTCCCTGGCTACTTGTAAAAAGGACAGGAAATACATTGTATCTGCTCTGGTTGCAAATAAAGATGGCAAGCTCTAGTCTCACACTTACTGAATGTTTCTGCTTTATTCATTCTTTGTTATAATAAAAGTTTGATCCAAGCCTGGCCAAATCCCATGTCATGATTATTTTGGCTGCAAGTGTCCTTTGAGATACTGCCCAATCCTCTCATTTTACAGCTCAAAAAACAAGTCTAAAGAAGTCGAGACTTGTCCACAATGAGGCTTTGAGTGAGTGGCACAGCCAAAACTAGAAACCGGAATTCCTGACTGCTAATTCATCGATCTTGCAGTTAGCATGCTGCCTCTTCTCTTACTTATCAGGCATACCAGAGTAAAAAAGGAACAATAATGCAACAATGGCATATTTTTTTATTTGAAAGATTAAGTAATTTTAGAAGTTTTGGATGTTAAAAGTTGTTTTTTTCTCCAAAGACATGTCTGACAATTCCTTTAAATAATTCCTAACACACTATTGAACATAATTAAATTTAATGGTAGCTGTTTAAGAACCCATAAGTCCTTTAGCTGGGCTCACCAAGAAAACAAGACCTCAAAGTCAGAAATGAAAGATCTTACAACTGTTACCACAGAACTATAAAGGATCATAAGAGACTACTATAAACAATTACAGGTCAAATTGGACCACCTAGAAGAAATGGATAAGTTTCTAGAAACAACTTACTGAGACTGAATCATGAAGAAATATAGAATCTGAACAGACTGAGCACTGGTAAGGAGATTGAATCAGTAATCAAATGCCTCCCATCAAACAAAAGTCTAGGACCAGACAGCTTCACTGGTGAAGTCTACCAAACATTTGAAGAAGAGTTAATACCAGTAATTCTCAAGCTGTTCCAAAAATTAGAAATGGAGGGAACTCTTCCAAAGTCATTTTACAAGGCCAGCATTACCCTGATACCAACACAAGAAAAGAATATTAAAGGCAAATATCCCTGATGAACATAGATGCAAAAATCCTCAATAAAATATTAGCAAAGCAAATTCAACAATACATTAAAAGGATCAAACACCATGATCAAGTGGGATTTATTCCAGGGATGCTAAGCTGGTTCAATACTGATAAATCAGTCAATGTGATACATCACATTAACAAAATGAAGGATAAAAATCATAAGATCATCTCAATAGATACAGGAGAAGCATTTGACAAAATTCAACATCCATTTATGATAACAAAGCAGGTATAAAGGGAACATACCTCAACATAATCAAGGCAATATGTGACAAGCCCACAACTAACATCATACTCCACAGACAAAATCTGAAAGCTTTTTCTCTAAGATCAGGAACAAGACAAGAATGCCCACTGTCACCATTGTTATTTAATATAGTATTGGAAGTCCTGGCCAGAGCAATTAGGCAAGAAAAATAAATAAAAGGCATCTAAATTGGAAAGGAAGTAGTAAAACTGTCCCTATATTCAGATGACACGATAAATACAGAAAACCCTAAACACTCTAAAAACCTGTTAGAATAAATGAATTCAGTAATGTTTAAGGATACAAAATGAACACACAAAATCTGTTGCGTCTCTATACACTGATAATGAACTATCAGAAAGAGAAATTAAGAAACAATCTCATTTTCAATTGCATCAAAGGAATAAAATATTTAGGGATAAATAAATTTAACCAAGGTGAGACCTGTACTCCAAAAACTAGGAGAAATTAATGAAAGAAATTTAAGAAGACACAAATAAATGGAAAAATATTCCATGCTCATAGATTTGAAGAATATTGTTAAAATGTCCACATTACCCAAAGTAATCTACAGATTCAATGTAATCCCTATTAAAATACCAACGATATGGAAGCAACCGAAGTGTCCTATGATAGATGATTGGATAAAGAAGCTGTGGTACATACATACAATGGAATATTACTCAACCATAAGAAGAGATGAAATACCACATTTACAACATGGATGGACCTCGAGATAATCATGCTAAGCGAAATAAGCCAGACAAAGTTGAAAATCACATGATATCACTTATATGTGAGATATAAACCTAAAAGCAACAAATGAACAGGACAAACTAACAGAGACTCATGGTCATGGACAATAGACTAGTAGTTACCAGAGGGTAGGGGGAATGAGGGAGGTGGACAGGGTAAAGGTGGTCAAATACGTGGAGACAGAAATCTAACTATGGGAGATGAACACACATTGTAAACATATATATGCCTTACTATTAAAGTGTATAGCTGAAACTTATTGGATTTTGTTAACTAATGTCACCATAAAAAATTTAATTAACTAATTAAAAAAAAAAAAGACAAGATAATGCCTATGACTTATACATCAGAATTCTTTATATCAAGAAAATGTCTGGTTCAGATAAAGAAAAGGATGAGACCAATAGGAAGCTATTTGAAGTACACACTGGCATTTTTAGTCTTGGAAAAGAGAAAAATAAATAATCTAATTGGAATGGAAAAAAAATGCCATTTTTCACAGAAATGGAACAAACAATCCTAAAATTTGTATGGAACCACAAAAGACCAGTGAATTTTTTTCCCCTTTGTGCTTATCTGTCTTTCACATTTTTTGTATTCAGTATGAATTACTTTTTTAAAGTAAACACTATATCTCATGTAATATACAGAAACACTCACAAGTGGTAAGTGAACACCTCAGTGAACTTTCACAAACTGAACCCTTCCATGTAACTGCCACCCAGATCATGAAAGAGAACATTTCAGGCATCCCAGAAGCCCCCTCTTGATGTGCATTCTCAAACACTACAGCAAAAATGTTTTTAAATTTGAAAAAAATATTCTGAAAAGATTAATAACCAGAAAGAACATGACATTTATAATTTCCCAAATCTGAAAATCTTAGACAAATGGTTTAACCTTTTTCTGTCATAATGCTCTCGTTTTTAATGAGAATAATATTTATCTTATAAAGTCACTGCAAAGATTAAATGAGAGAAATGTAAATCCCCAAGCATAGTGCCTGACATACAATATATACAGAATAACGATAGCTATTATTGTAAGAGTTCACGAGAATAACTGAAATAACACCTGTAAAATTCATAAATACTAGGGGCTCAATAATTGTTTTTTCCTTTCTCATTCCCTATTCAGAACTTTAATTCAACAGTTAAAATAATCTTTTAAAAAATTAATGTCTATGCCCGACCAATAAGCATTGGACCTTAAGGTGTTGCTGATTTCCTGATTATTTCATTTCATAATTAATAAAGCCTGTGACACAAAAAATAAGGCTTCCTTTCTAAGCCAAAGAACAGCTGTCAAAATGTTGATTTATATATCGGTGTACCCAGTTTAAAGTGAAAAATTGTGACATGCTAATATCTATTTTGGTAATTGGAGTGTTTGCTATTTTTTGGTTTATGTGCTATGAAATGGCAAATAATTCATGTTCTTTTTTTTT